TGTTTGAGAAATGTTGAATGAAGTGATGATTTACTGCTTACATTTGCTGCCCCTCTTTTCGAATCGAATTTAGGGACATGTTGGTACAGCAGGGGCCCTTTTCTCACCATCTAAGCATAAACTGCTTTAACATCACCTATATTTCTACAATACAGATAACAGTGAAGGCTTAGGTACTTACAAAATCTGATATTTGATCATTATTACAAGTCATTGATATCAACATGGCTTCCAGAGTATCTCTTGAAAGTTGGAACTTCACTTCCGATTTGGTTATAGTTTAATGTTATAATTAAGGTGCAATGTGAGAATTATAGTTCTACTTGTATTTATACTTTTTTTTGGTAGCACATATATATAATTTTTCGATTTCGTTAATAAAATTTACGTGGGTTTTTGTCTGTGGACGTAGGTCTCTGACCGAAGCACATTAAAATCTCTCGTGTTTATGTATTTTTTTTATTCATACGTTGCAACGTTGTGGATATTATGTTGGTTGTGGTTTTTTATTTCTGGACTTTTTGTTGTTTAAAAGTTGGTTGATTTCGTTGATTTCGATAAGTGCTTATTTTAATTTGTTCCAAATAGTATCAAAATGTCTAAGACAACTGAAGGGGGTCCGTCTGCAATGTGGGATAAAGAAGTTACAAATATTTTTTGCGACCTATGCATTAAAGAAACTGAACTGGGGAATAGGTCAACCACATATTTTAATAAAGAAGGTTGGAATAATATAGCTCAGAGATTCTAAGAATTGACTGGTAGGGATTACGACAAACTTAAATTCAAAAACAAATGAAACCAATTGAAGAAATAATGGAAAATATGGAAAGAGTTGAAACGTGACTCTACTGGGTTGGGATGAGATCCGATTAAAATGACGATCGATGCTCCAGCTGAATGGTGGACTGAGAAAATTGAGGTAATTTTCTATTTTTTTTTTGTCAATTATATTACTTCTCAAATTTATATTACTTCTCAAATTATTTAGAAACTGATCCCCCTAAATAAGCTTGTTACAGGCATTATCAGCAGCGAAAAAATATAGGTAGTGCAGAAGTGAGCCAGATTTCGAGGCAAAACTTGACATCATGTTTAAGGGGGTTGTCGCGACTGGGAAGCACGCAACAAACCCAAACGAGATGGGATTTACAGGAATGTCAAATGACTTGCCACCTGAACAGGTTATAGCTGATGAAGAAATTCCTAGTATTAACCAAAAAGAGATGAAGGAGTCTAATTCCATGTCCAAAAGGCCCAGGCTTGCGAGGAGGAAGAAAGAGAATGACAATTTTGTGAAAGACTCATTTGCTGAACTAATTGCAGCTTTCACAGCTCCGACTCCTCCTGACAGTACAATTTGGGACTGCCTGACCATTTTAGATACTATTCCAGAAGCAGCAGCCGATAGTGTTCAAAAGCTCGAGGACCCTACTCGTAGGGAAATGTTCATTGCATTATGGCCCGAGATGCACATTGAATATTTACGTGTTATAGTTGAAGAATGACTCCGCTTTGTACTAATCTTTCATTAGACTTGTCACTTATGTATTGTTATTACAGCAGCTACTGTTATTTTATGATGCTATGTATTGTCTAATTTTTTTTCCTATCTTCACAACATGTTATGTCACTTATTTTCTGATGCTAAGTAATACTTGATGTTTTCACTATTCCAATTTTCTGTCGCCACCTCTCCATATTTTCTTTCATCCTAATGTATTTATCATTTCAGGATGCACCCATTGCAAGATCGCCGTAAAAGAATGACATGGGCTGTTGCTATAGCGATATTATTGTGCGATATTATTGCTGAAATACTACCGCTCCAGTTATAGACGGATACCACGCATGACGTCCTCTTATATTGGGGACAAATGGGTGGGTGAGATGCTTGCTGGACATCTTG